TGAAGTGCGCGGGGCTGGAGCAGGGGCTGCATTCCCGTTCACTGTGCTCAGCAGGAAGGGGCCGGCATCATCCTATACCTATGGCACAAACTCAACACATGGAATGGAAGAGGCAGCCTGGCAGGTCACCAAGCACGGCCTTCTGGCTTAGCCTAAGCACCCCACAAAATTTTAATTGTTTCAAGGTCCAAAGTGTACCCAAGCTGCAGGGCAACTAAATTTCGAGACCAGAAAACAAGACATGTTGCTATTTCAACAGCCATCCCTTACCACACTGCACAGCAGGGCTCAGTGGATGTCTGGTCACCCATAAAAGTTACAACTTAGAAGACATATTTATTATGGGTTAGTCCCTTTACACATAACAGACATTATCTCTCTCCTAGGGTTCAGCTCAGCTCCATTTGAAAGACATAATATAGAATCAAGGACACATACACCAACAAGGGTATTTTTGTGAAACACTCAAAAACTATCATTACCTCTTACATTTTATTTTCTATACTTGATAGTAAAGTAAGAAGAAGAAAGACAAGTATTAGAAGGAAGAAAGAAGCTAGGAAGCAGCAATATAAAAGCTGCTTTGACCTCCCTTTTTAATTTAGTTTTTCTAGTCTGATTTTTTAAAAATAACCTTTTTCTTTATTTTTTATTCTTTATTTTTCATTTTATCTGAAATTTATTTATTTTTTTCTATTTTGCCATACAACTTCTTGTATTGTAAATTCCCCTTGTGGATCAAGGAAGGGAAATAAATGAAGCATAAATACAGGAGCTGTTGGAATTCCTGCCCCGGCCATCCTCACTTTCTCTGAGTGCATGTGGCACTCGGGTTACATGAGCAATTCCAGCAGGGTAGAAGCAGGAACTTGTTGCACTTCACATTCAAGATAGCTCTAGAAATCTAAACTCCTTAAAATCAAGCAGGGAAAGAATTCTTTAAGAGGAAAAACACCCTGAACCAACATTTAGCTTGACGACTTCAGCCACTTGCCAAAATATCCTGTCTTACTGAGCCAATAAATTGAAAGCAGAAGAGAGGGAGTATGACTGTAACAGGATAAGGGGTAGGCTTTTAATTTTTTATGAGGAGGAGGAGGAGGATACCAATACAGTTAGTCAGTCGGTGAGCATTAATCCTCATTAATATCTTCCATTCAAATCCATTCTCCTCCACACAGCTGTGCAAATATCAATTAATTCGGTCATCTTGACCAAGGCATCCAAGAAAAAAAATTTTAATGTGAAGCCAAAGAATTAATTGGACAAATAACACATTCTTTAAACATGTGGGAAGGATTGTTCAAGCTCCCACATCATGGATTGAGAGACATGCATATCACTGTAAACTGAGCGAGAAGCCACCAAAGAGCAGAGTGAGGCGGAACGTGTTCACGACAAAGCATGGACTAAATGGCCGGAGTGGGAATGGTAGCACTCGCCCCTTGCCAGCACTGTGCTGAGGGCGGCATTTCGCCTAATGCCTAGGATAACACCATTATCCCCAGTGTATGTATCAGGTAATCAGGAACAAAGAGGTCAAACAGCTTGCCAGAGTTCAATGGCCCAGTCAGTGGCAGAGTCAGGGTCACAACTGAAATTCAGGGTGACTAACTACAGAGACTGTGTTTCTAACCATGAAATTGTCCCTGTTTTCTATATACGTGGCCTTATGCTTGCATTATAAAGAGATAAGAAATATAGAATCTATTTCTTGCCTTTCATAAATTTATAATCTGAGCTGGCAGCTCATGCCTATAGTCCCAGCTACTCCGTAGGCTGAGGCAGGAGAATGGCTTGAGGCCAGGAGCAGGAGACCAGCCTGGGCATCATAGCCAGACCCCATTTCTAAAAATAAATAAATAAATAATTTGTAATTTGATTGGGGAACTAGGAGGGACACACCTGAAATAATCAGAGCACAGGGACAGGACACATATCAGGTTCTGCCTCTTGGAAAAAACCAATTCACAGGAGCTGGGGCAAGTGATTATAATTCATCTGTGCAACTTGTGAGGATTTCTACCAGATTCTAAACCAAAAAATAAGTTGTACAGAATACCATACTTTAGAAAATACTGATTAATTCCTGTTATGATGTGGCTTGAACATACTGAAAGGGCTCTCCCTTTCAGAGATCTCCCTTAAGAAAGGACAGAAGGACAGCCAGCCTGTTCCCAGCTGCACCTTAGGGGTTAATAAAAATGCCAACGGCCTCCTCCCAGCCTGGTCAGACAGAGGGAGTAGAAGTTCCTGGAGTCTACTCTGGCAGAGGCATGGCAACCTCTCCCAGCCTCCCGAGACTAAGAAGCAGGCAGGAGACAATTTAGATCATGTCTTTGGTCCCTTTCATTGGAATTTAACCAGCCTGGGGCCTCTGACTGATGGGAAAGAGCAGGTTTGAGCTAGAGACCAGCGAACGTGCTCAGAGGAAGCAGCGGCAGCACTGCGGGAAGCATAAACTGGAGCAAAGCATGGGCATGGCAAGAACGATTCTGAAATTTACACCAGATTCACACCCCTCACTGGGAAACTATGATAAAGGTTCTGAAGCGGACTGTTTCCATGCACTCTGCTATATTTACATCTCTGTTGTGCTCTTAACGTTCACGAGTACATGATTTAAAAACTGCTGCTTTGTTAAATGAGATGACACGCTGCTCTCAGCAGCAGCTTCAGGGCGGGGCGGTACTGGACAAGTCACAGCGCAGAGCAGGACAGACAGGCCCGTAACGAGCACCTTGTCTGCGACTCAGGTTTCACGTAGAATCAGGTGAAAAGATGCAGACACGAATCCACAGACACTGGCTGGGGTGAGGGGTCCGCAGTACAGAGAAGGGTCTGGAGGCGTTCACTTTTCAAGCAGGCTCCCAAGTCAGCCCTGATGTTCCTGAGAACCCAAGTAGTGTCAGGGGCTTCAGGGAAGAGCAAATATTCCCGTAATGTCCTGATCGAAAACCAAAGAGCTGGGTTTCAACTCCTAGCCAATATCAACTCCACAGAATCCTTAGAATCATCCTGGGAAAATACTCATGCTGTGGTCTACCCCAGTGATTCTGATTCAAAGCACCCGGGGAGGGGTCTGGACACTGACTAAGTTAGAATCATCATGTCTAACATGACCAAGGCTGAGACCCCATAAACACCCACGAGGGGGACAACTCAATCAACAGATGCAGAAATGAACAGAATTATCTTCTTTTAACAGCTTACTCTAAATTATATTCCTTTCTAGATCTTAAGAAACTATCAAAGAGTGTGAGCTGCCTGGATTACAATCCTAGTACATCACTTACCAGCTAAGTGACCTTGGACAAAGGACATAACTTCCCAGAGAATCAGTTTTCTTAGCAATACAATGAGGTTGATAATCATGACATCACCATACGGTAGTTGAGATGACAGCATGACATCGAGTATGTAAATTATTTAGTCCAATATCTGGCACATGTTAAATGCCCAATAACTGTGAGCTGCCATGATTGATGATGAGGAGAGTGAAAGTAAAAATATACCAGTTATAGTTCAATAAAAGGGATATTTTTCTAGACTGTGTGTTTATTTTTAATACCAGGTTTTAAAGGAATTGTGAAGAACAGGAATGTGAGAGTTCAAGAAAGAGTTTCACATAGCAAATGACTGAAGGAAGTCGGAGTGTTTAGCCAGGAGAAGAAAAAAACTGAGAAGGCACATGGTAATGTCTTCAGATGGAAAGATCAGGTCTGAGAGCAGGTGGCTTGATCATGTGCATTTCTTAAAAAGGGGGGACTGTGGATAGAATTCAGAGGACCTGGAAATTGGGATGAGAAAAAAAAGAATCTTTATTTTCATTAATCTCAAATGGAAATTTAGAATTTCCTCCAATTATGAATGCAGGCAACAAACCTCAGTAGTAGTAGTAGTAACTGTGATCTTCTACAGTTGTGGTAGACATCCCAAAATATTATTAATATTTAAGGTGGCCAACTGCATTGGTTTGCCTTGGTTGCAGGACTGATGGGTTTCCCAGGATGTGGGACTTTCGGTGCTAACACTGAGAAAGTCTCAGGTAAACCATACCCTACTTACATTTATCACGGCAGTCGTTCCTTGGCAACTGAAGGGGACTGGTTCCAGGACTCCCCCTCAGATACCAAAATCCAAGGCTGCTCAAGTCCCTTGTATGAGTAGCATAGTACTTACACATAACCCATGCATATCCTCCCACAAACGTGAAATCTTCACTAGATTATTTATGCTAATACAGTGTAACTGCTATGTAAATAGTGTTACATTGTGCTGGTTTTTACTTGTACTATTTTTCATTGTTGTATTGTTATTATTTTTTTATTACTTTAAATTCTTGGACAGGGAATGCACTTATATGGAGGGCCAACTGAGATTACTGGTAGTTATCACATCACTAGATACCATTATTTTATGTGTTAATAAACAAGCACCTAAATAGCCATATCACAATTTCAAAAAATATCTTGATAAATGTATATCAACACAATCTACCTTTTATAATGCTTTCTATTTCATTTGATGCATTTAAAAGCATTATTCTGAGTCCATAGGCTTCACCACTTTGCCAAAGGGATTTGTGACAAAAAAGTTTAAGAAGGAAGAAATTGAGACCATTGATTGGAAAATCACAATTAAGTTCTTTTAGGTCTGGAAACCTAAAAATAATAATGAAGAGAATCCACGCATTTCCCACCAAAGGACACAAACACACAATCAAGAGATGGAGCCATTTGCCACTACTAGGAAACCTCCTAATTCCTCCACTCCTGGTAATACATCTATATGTATTTTGTGACTTACTTCTATTATTGCAGAATCAACTCAATCTTGATAGATATCAATTGAAGTATCTATCTCTCAATAACTATAAATGCTTACCTTAAGAATAATAACTTCACAGATCTTAAAATTGTCCAAGAAGATAAAGGAAATTTGGATTTTTTAAAAACAGCACATTTAAAGAAATGATGAGAAGAAATTTGAACTCTTACCGGATACCACCGGGACTCTGACAGATGCCGGCTCCCACCTTGCCTTATCTCCACTGTTGACGGAGGTTCCATTATTCTCCCACCAGGTAGTAAAGGACCATTTCTCTTCTGATCAACGTAACTCCAGGCAACCAGCCCAATATGGCCAGAAGGCAGAGTTCTCACGATTGCTCTTGTGCCAGTATACACAGATTTCTTAACTTCTCTGTCATTTTTACAAAATCTCCTAACTAACAAAGTGGACCGCTCCTTTTTGCTTTTTAAAAAGTCTTCTTCTGCATCTTCACAATTATCAGGGAAGTCCTCAAAATGGCTCAGAAAGGTCTTGGCAGGTGGGCTGTCAGTAAAACCTTCCCTGCAAAAGCCATCACTTGAACATATGTCAACCTTCTGGCAAGAATCTTCAAAGCACAAGTATCTGTCATTCAAAGTGTCACAATGATCACACTGCTGCTGCCCATTCTTATTATCACAGTTTTTGGCCAATTCCATGAGTTTACAATTATATGCCATGCAGTTTTTTGTTTGCTTTCCACCAACACCAGGCAGTGGTACACAATTTCCACAATTGTCCAATATTAGGTTTTCTGATAGGGTACAGAAAGTGTCTGACATGCCTCTGTCAACTTCGTAATGAAAGTGAAATACTGCCATGTTGTTGTCAGGGTGTGCTCTGTTGGGCTCTAGGATCGCCGACTGATTTCCTAAAGGACTAACGTCCACGGGAGATCCGTCTATTGCCAGTTGAATTCCAGGGAACACCTTTCTTTCCAGTGGAGAAGGAATTCCAGTTTCCAAACACAGGCCCTCCTCTGTGACAGAGTTGCATGTTTCATAAAACTGGCTCTGAGGGAGGCCATGCTGATGGTTTCTCAACATGTTGTTGCAGTTCGTGTTAAGGTTTTTCACAGAATCTGGCGTGCTTTTTTCCCAGCACTTTTCATTACTGTTCTCATCACTCACTATTTTCTCCCTTGCTATTGAGAGAACCTTGGGCAAGTTGCTGCCAGAAGATTCTTTAAGTCGGTTCAGTTGTGAGACAGTATGAGAAGTCTGCCCACTCTGCCTGACAGTATGTGCCATTGGAATATTGATGTCTGAGACCTTTTCATTACTTTCATCCGCAGCCGACTGGACAGAAATCACTTTTCTCTGAGTCACAGGTATGAGAACAGAAGCTGCCATTTCTTCAGAAGTCATCTTGGACCAACACACAGATTTCAGCTATTTCTCTGTTCCTCCTCCCTGGCAATCATGTCATGGTTTTATAAAATGACTGATTATAAAAATAATCTCGGATATACAAGTCCATCTGAGAAACAAAGTGGCAGCCCCTTTCATTCACGACCATGAAGAGTCAAATAAACTTTCCCAGTTATAACTTGTATTACGAATACTTTTTTCTACCCCAGGATTTTAAGGTGGTAGATCAATTTTCTTTCCTCTGTTATCTGAAGCAAATTTTTTGAAGACTTTTATTTGGGATTGCATTCTGTAACTTCCAATCCATCATTGACTTGCAATGATTTAAAAATCCAGTTTGAATGTGTCCTGTTTCCTGTAAAAAAGGGGATAATGTCAAACACTGTGGCAGTAAATGAATTGTTAAAAAATAAGCTCATATAATAATTCTAAGCTATAGACCAATTCTGAGGAAGGAGTTTTACAATAAGAAGTTAGTTTTTATCTTTTAAGTATTTATGCTTCTGATTGAACATTTCAGAACTTCTGCTTCCAGCCAAAATTGAGTAACAGGGGCCAGATTTATCTTCCCACCTTAAATAACTTAAAAATAAAAGAGAAAGAAAGAAAAAGAAACAATGGTTTTCAGATATTGAACAACAAGCAACACAGAATAGTGATCTCTGAAAGAAGAAAATAATGAGGCTAGCCCTATATATGCCCTAGCTTACTGCTTAGAAATTTTTCCAGGCTATCAGGCAGGGAAAGGAAACTCAGAACCCAACAGCCTACCCAAGTAGAATAGAAAAAGTTGAGACTTCAGAGAGGCCAAAAAAGCTACGGAAATAAAGCACAGTAAGCAACAAGGAGCAAAGATAAGAATGATAGCAGACTTCTCATCAAAAACAATGCAAGCCAGAAGAAAGTGGAAGAAATCTTTAAAGTGCTGAAAGAAAAAGTACTGTCAACTTAGAATTCTACAAGCAGCAAAAAAACTTCTGCAAATGAAAATTAAGTAAAAACTTTTTCACACATCAAAATTAAAAAAATCTAACACCAGCAGGCTTGCATTACAAGAAATTATAAAGTCCTGTAGGCAGAAAGTTAATGATACAAGATAGGAATATGCATCTATGTAAAGGAAAAGAGAGCCTGAAAATGTTAAATATGTGAGTAAATACAATTTTTCTTATTTTTAAAATCATTTATCAAAATAATTGACACTTTAAAGGAAAAATAATGACAATGTATTACCGTTTTTAACAAATGTAGAAGTAAAATATATGACAATAAAAGCACAAAGGTTGAGAGAAAAAATGGAACACTACTGCTATAAGGTTATTTTCTACACAAATCAGTATAATATTACCTAAAGGTAGACTGTGATAAGTTAAAGATCACAAGCCCTAAAGCAACCACTTTTGAAAGAAATAGGAAATTAGTCAAAAAATCAGAATCATAAAAAATATTCAATTAATTAAAAAAGTCGGAAAAAATAAGAAAAAGTGAATAAAAAACAGAAAATAGGGAACTAATGGTAGATGTAAACATTTCAAAAAGCATTTTAGGCAGTATTTCCAGTTCTTTTCCTCACAAAATATAATTTTTTTTAACTTCTTCTGTTTCATTTGAATAAGAAACAATTCAGGACTGGGCACAATGGCTTACGCCTGTAATCCTAACAATTTGGGAGGCCGAGGCGGGCAGATCGCTCAAGGTCAGGAGATCGAAACCAGCCTGAGCAAAAGCGAGACCCTGTCTCTACTATAAATAGAAAGAAATTAATTGGCCAACTTAAAATATATAGAAAAAATTAGCCGGGCATGGTGGCGCATGTCTGTAGTCACAGCTACTCGGGAGGCTGAGGCAGAAGGATTGCTTGAGCCCAGGAGTTTAAGGTTGCTGTGAGCTAGGCTGACGCCATGACACTCTAGCCTGGGCAACAGAGTGAGACTCTGTCTCAAAAAAAAAAAAAAAGAAAAAAAGAAAGAAAGAAACTATTCAGTTGAATGTCAGTGGTGATTAAAAGTTTTATCTACAAAAGGCATTATTTAAAAAAATAGTTTAGCCCATAATTATTCTCCAAACAAATTATTGAACCTGCTCCATATTAAACCTGCTCTATGCTGGGCTATGTGTTACCTACTAGATAGCCAGTAGCTTCTTGCCACTCTATTACTAGAGAGGGGGAATCAAACATATTTCCATCTATTGTGGGAAGTTCAATTATAAAGGACATCCAAGGCACCATGGGACCAGAAGGAGCCCACGATGAGTGTACCATTCCTTTGTAGGTAAAGCTGTTCTCCCCAAGGCACCTATCAGCAGTCATGCTCTGCTGTCAACACTAGCTCTGCCTTGCTTTTACCCTTTGCCACACAGATGCCTCTCTTCTCCTTGCTTCCTCTGTCATTTCCCAAAAAGGAATCAACGGACCCTTCTTCCCTTAAATGTATGTCCCCTCAAGTACAAACACAGCCTCTCACCTGCTCCTAGCATATGCAGAAGTCCACAACCACCCTGAAGGATCAGAGGACACTCTGGCAATCAGATTCTTTACAGGGAATAAACTAGCGCACACAAAGCAGCAATGTCCTAGTTCAACATCCTTTCCACCTTTCGTGTCCTCATTCCAACTTGGTTTCTTTTTGTTTTCCTTTGGAAAATGACTCTATTATTTTTATAGATATATGCTCAGTGTAAAAAAATTCAAACCATGCAGAAAACAACAAGAGAGAAAATGCTTTCAAACTTAACACAAATCCTACCACCCAGAGATAATTAGTACCAATACTTCAAGGAACCCCCTTCCAGAACACTCCCTATGTGTCAACATACACAAAGATAAATGTATATACTACATACTGAACATGCTGTTCTTACCTGCTTTTTAAAATTCACAGTGGACCATGAACAACTTTTTATGTCAAGAATTATACAGATAACTTTAACCTGTAATGGCACTAACTTGAATTCAGTATCTTTGCTCTATTTTTCTAGAGATTTTTCAAGCCAAAACCTTCAGATTGATAGCTAATCTGTCCTTTGTCACCCATGAGTTAAGTCATTCAAGGTAGAAGAGGGGGAAAACATTTTAGTGCTGCTTAGGTCCTATTCTAAGTACTTTGCAATTATTATCTCATGTAATTCTCACTCAACTCCACAAGATAGTGTGATGGTTTTAAAATGTGTCCACAAATTCTTTGATACTCTTCCCTTCAAAAGGCAGAGCACAATTCCTCTACCCTTGAATGTAGACGATGGACCAGGAGATCAGTAAAGCTCTGAAGGATGGGGGATTTGGGCTGGGACTTTACAGTGAAGTAGCAATTACTTGTATTTATGGAGAGGAAAAGAGACTTGGGGTAGAGGGAACAGTAGTAATAAAAGATGCACAAGTAGAAAAACACAATGCATAACCACGAATTCATCTGACGGTCTTAGGAGAACATTCTATCCAAACAAAAAGAGTAAGAGTTGCTCAATAATTTCACTATGGTGGAAAAGAAATATAAAGTAACTGTTAAAGCTGGTAATAGAATTTAATATTCCTATTTGCATTTTTTTTTTTTTTTTTTTTTTTTGAGAAAGAGTCTCACTCTGCTGCCTGGGCTAGAGTGCTGTGGCGTCAGCCTAGCTCATAGCAACCTCAAACTCCTGGGCTCAAGCAATCCTCCTGCCTTAGCCTCCCGAATAGTTGAGACTACAGGCATGTGCCACCATGCCCGGCTAATTTTATATATATATATATTTTTTTTTTAGTTGGCCAATTAATTTCTTTCTATTTATAATAGAGATGGGGTCTCACTCTTGCTCCTGATCTTGAGGAATCCGCCCACCTCGGCCTCCCAGAGTGCTAGGATTACAGGACTGAGCCACCGCGCCCGACCGTATTTGCATCTTTAAACTTTAGAGTGAGTCCCTTTGAGTATCTGTGTATGACAACTAACCATTGAACGGTTATTTACTTAGGCATTCTCTTCCCCAATCTGCAAAGAAATTAAAGAAACTATTCTGTCTACACAATCTGTTCCTCCCTTTCTCCTTATCACACACACATGGTGTGCACGGGTGTAAGTGTGTGCACACACCCACACATAAGCCCTACATAATATGAGTCAGTCTTCACTTTTTCTTCTTCTGAGTATCTGTGGCTCCACTCCCTTCTGACCTCCTTTCTCTGAACGATTATGATGGAAATTCCATAACTCACAAGGAAACAAACCTCTTAAAACATTCCCCAAAGGCACTGGTGTACTCATCTGAGTCCATTTCCAAGACCGCAAAGATTTAACCCTTTGGGCTTTCAACTCTCTTTATTAGAAAAGTTTCTGTGTCTGCAATGCTAGACTTCAGATGTAAAAAACACAGACATCCTAATCTTCATACTCTACATATATTAGATATCAGGAGTTGAAAAGCTACACAAACATTTTTGAACTAACACATCAATAAGGCTGCCAATATAGTATAATAAAATAGAGGATCACAAAAAAGTTTGTCCATAACAGGTTAATTCTCAATTATAAAACTTACAAGGAAAGGAGATCCTCCCTATAAAACAGTCTCTAATCAGCATGCAAATCACCCCATCTCTCTCAGAAATATAGGTCATAAATACTAGGAGAACATTACTTTAAGCCAAGAGTGGAGGCAGACGGGATTGTGATGTTGTGATGCTCATAGGACTCCCTCTCCTTCATTGTAATACAATAATGTCAAGACTCTGAAGTTGTGTGTGCATCACATGCACACACAGATGTATATCTCTGATGAGATGAAAATAGAGAAAATTGGGCAGCAGAGGATTTTAGATGGCATTAGACCCTCCACAATTTAGTCTTAGTCTATTTTTTCCAGTTTCATCTGACTAATCCCCAAGGAAGAGTAATCCAGTCACATCGGATTTTGTGCCATTTATTGAGCCAGCCTAGCATGTAATACCTTTATACATTTCCCTTGCCACTATTTTCTGTCTAACTCTGCTGACTCCATCGCCGAGATTAAATGGCATCTTCCTTCTGCAGCCTTCCTTTGCCTGATACCTGCCTGTCAGCATTAATCACTTTCATGTGTTTCCTGGAGCTCTTCCTATATTCTGCCACCCCAGCATGTCATGGCACACTAGATTGTAACTGTTGATTATGTAGGGCCCCTGCATGGGGACACCCTGAAGGACATACACCTTTGAACTTAAGAACTTTCATAGGTACTCTGCACTTTACATTCCTGGTACAGTACCAAGACATATAATTAGTCTCAATAAACATTTGACTCTCTCCTTCCCTTTCATGGCTATATACAAGCCCACTCCTTGTCCATTAGGATCAGGATTACTTAAGTGCTTCCAGTCTCCCAAACTCTAACCTTCTCCTC